AAAATAAACACACTCTTCTCCGCCGCTTAGTTTATGTTCGTGAAATTACTAATCGCTCCATCGTAAACTACCGAAAGATGAATGGTTTCGAGAGAGAAAGAGGAATAAGAAAGAAAAGGGAGAAAATAAACTTAAAAAACTCAAAAAACAAAGTAGATAAAAAAAGTTAATTAAATTCTACTGCTGAAACTTCGCATTAGAATGTTAGAATGCTGGCGGGTTTTTGGAGATTTTACTTGGCGCTGTTTTGCCACGCTGCCGTATGTAATACGTTTTTAATGAATATAATCGTCACAGAGAAGTTTAAAGCGCTGCAATTTTAGAGGATAAAGTGCTCATTGCATTTTTTATTCATGTTTTTCTCTTGAATACCGCTTGATGGCGATTAGAGGTTTTCTAACTGTTTATTTTTGTATTCAACATTTTAAATATTAATTTAAAGTTCTTAATATGATAATGCATGCAAAACAAATTCTGTTTTTATGCTTATGTACATTTTTATTGAATGAAGTTTGTATGTAGAACTTAAACTTAGCAATAGTTTCTCATAAATGTTTGGAAATTTGCTTACATATCCTTGATATTTCAAAGGAAAAAAAAAGATCTGGTATCAAATTATAATCTTCATTCGTAATATAATTATTATAGGAGTTTAATAATGCATATAAATAACAAAATACTTGTTTTTTAGACCTCAAAAATCCTCTTATCTGTGCTCTTATTTTCAATTTCGACTTTAAATTTATCTTAATTAATGGCAGGTTTAATTTATTATCTAGCATCGTTTGTTTTATTATTATTTACAAATTATGTCAAAAATTTTACATTAAAATGACTTCATATATGATTTATTAAAAATATAATTTATTTTTGCTTAAGCAACTAATTATATCAAAGAAGTTAAGATGATGAAAGATAATTAAATCAAAGATCTGACCTTAAAATGGGAATAATTTTATCAGTGCTTTTTAATTTACACGCTTTTATTAGTGCTTTTTACTTATCTAGATATGTTCTAGATATCTAGATGTATCTAGATATGCAGTTATCTAGATAACTGCATTTTACTTTAAAATTTCACTCACTTAGCTATTGACGAACTTTTATTCTATTAACTATGAAAATATTAGTTATAAATTTAATATGAATACATTTAAGTTTGGCGCTGATGGTAAATTAAAAATTGCCTTTGAATATCAGTATATTTTGCATATTTTTAGCGATATGTATAGTCTTAAATAATTTTTTTTTTTTTTTTTTTAAANATCTGTAGATGATCTCTCAACCGAAGAAAAAAAAAATTCTGAATTTTGGATGGACCATAATCCATTAAAAATGAAAAACATTTTTATGGTTGTTTTCATGTTTTGATTTGCCTCTCCATAATCAATTATAACCAATTTATGTTGCCAATCTTGTACATTTCCCCGCAGCATTGCGGAAAGAAGTACACAAAAATTGTAGTTTGGGGGATACGAACTTGGTGAAGTGTATCTCTTAAACATGGAAAGCAACAAGTTGACTCTCTTTCGAATATTAGGCCTCGAAATAATAATTCTTTTTAGGGAATTATTTGCAGTTATCCAACCGTGGGGTGCTCGGTATGGTATTTTTTCGAGTAGCTTTAATTTATTTTTAACATCTCCCCTTTTTCTACTTCAATGGCTAGTTTCATTTTATTGTAGTATGTTTACACGGGTTGTGAGTTTATGCTTTATGTCTTTGATATTTCTGAATTGTGATGTTTTAAGCTGTTTGTCAGACGTGAAAGCGACCAGTTGGAACACTTAATAGCAAAATTGTAGAAAAATTGCAAAATAAATATTTTACTAAGCACTTTATGGCCAAATTTAGTGAAAAGTTTTTGGATTTGAGAACATGGTTACATAATTTGTTGTAACTATAAATCTATTTCTTCTGCCAAGTCGTAAAACATAATAATTTTAAATGTGAAACATTGTTTTGTAAATAGCTTTTCCTTATTTCTCTAGTTTTCCTTCATGAAACTTTTCTTTTTAAGCAATAACTCAAATGCCAGAGATGCCAACAAATATTTTCTAATGATAGCAAAATTTATGCTTTAGTTGACAATTCTTGATTTAGTAAATTTGATTCTTAGGGTTTTTTATCGCCACTACTTCTAAATAATTCAAGGCCTATAGGAAACGCCATTTTGCTACATTTATTTTTGAAATTGAATCTTTTAAAAGGTTTCTAAAATTAACCAAGCATCTGCGAATTTTAGTTTATAGCTCCGTTTTTTGAAATATCTTGTAGAACACGAAGCAATTCGATCCTCACACCATATGATAGAGGATTTAAAATTTAAACTATTTAAACATTCTTGCTAGCTCAGCATAATGTAGCAAAGTTTTGAAATTCAAAAATTTGTATTAAAACCATTTTTTTAATTTTCAGAGACAATAAGAATAAAAATTATTAAATAGATTATTAAATTTTAACGTTTTAAGAGCTACCTCAGTTAATAATTAAAATTTAAAATCCTTTTGCATTCTGAAGTTATTATATGTTGTGATCTGTATATTAAATTAATTGAAAAATTCCGGTAAATGTCGAATTTCAAAACAAATATTATATTTGTTTGCATTATTGCAATAATTGTTTCTTTTACTTATTTCATCATTATTATAATTTTTAATAAAAGCTGCTACTAAATAGTTTCGGGATGCTTTTTGCTAGATACAATAGAAATTTATTATTATTTGTTCAAAATTAGTATTATTAGTATTCGAATTATAAGCTTCATTGTTATTAGTTCAAAAGAAACTAGGTTTATTTTATGATTTTCGTGGAATGCACTAGGAATAAACACTTTTGACTACATTCTACATTATTTGGGAATAAACTTTCCTTCGTTTATTTTAATATTATTAATCCCGAATTTATTATTATTATTCATAGTAGCATTAGCACTATTACTATTAGTTATAAATTATCATTATTATTAGTAATATTGAAATTGTTATTAATTCCAAAGAAGCTAAATTTATTTTATGGTTTTTGCTATAAACAAAGGATTTGACACCACTTTACATTATTTGAAGTAAACTTTTATTTATTTGTAATTGGTTGTGAATCATTATTATTACCAGTAATAGAATTTTCATTATTATTAGTTCTAAACAATTGAGATTTATGTTTTAACTGAATATATTAGAAATGAGCAATTTAACTTCAATCTACATTTTTTGAAATAAGAATTAAACTTTTATTCATTGTATAATAATTGGTTGAGAATCATTATTATTAGTAATATTGAAATTATTGTTATTAATTCCGAAGAAGCTAAATTTATTTTATGGTTTTTGCCATAGACAAAGGATTTGACTACACTTTATATAATTCCAAAGGAACTAAATTTATTTTATGGTTTTTGCCATAAACAAAGGACTTGACTGCACTTTATATTATTTGAACTTAACTTTTATTTATTGATAATTGGTTGTGAATCATTATTATTAGCAGTAATAGGATTTATTATTATTAGTTCCAAACAATTGAGATTTATGTTTTAACTGAATATAATAGAAATTAGCTATTTAACTTCACTCTACATTTTTTGAAATAAACTTTTATTTATTGTATGATTATTGGTTGCTAATCATTATTATTAGCAGCAATAGAATTACTATTAGTTTCAACGAATTTATTTTTACACTGAATAAATTAAAAATGAGCTATTTAACTTCTCTCTCTCCTGAATTTGGAATAAACTTTTTTTATAATTTATTATTATTACATATAATTTTAAATTAAAGGTTCTACCAAACTGTTTCTAAAGAAGCAAAATTTATTTTATTGTTTTCGCTGAATGCACAACTTAAAAAGACCAATAAAAATTCTTACAATTTTCAAAAAGCTTTTTCGTTAAAATAGAAAAAAGAACAGATATTTCTGTAAAACCACAAATTTATTCTTTTACCTTTGTAATTAAAGTGAAATTCTAAATGTTTTTCTGAGCACTTTGCTTAATTCCACGTTCCTTTTCAGTTTCCTTTATTTCTTTTTAAATTTATCGTCTTCAATTCTCCACTTCTGTAGAATGTTTTAAAATGTTGTTTATGTTTAGAGTAATTTGGCAAGAAAGAACTTTATATTTTCTTTAGTATTTTCTCGTGCAAATGTATATCAATGCCGAAATAAATGGTGTGTATAAATGAATGTTTTAATTTTTTATTTTATTAACCCTAACTATCTTTGTTATCGTTGTTTTATTTATTTTAATGATTGATTGTATAGAAGAGTACCATCTAAATCGTGTTTTTGAAAGAATTCTTTTGTTTTTCTTTTACGAAATTGAAATAACTGAAGCTTGAAAGTTTTTATGGTCCCACATGGGGACCCAGTGCTTTTAATCAAAAAGCTTTTATTTTTAAATGACTATAAAAAGTTTAAGATTTAAGTGAAATTACTCGTTAAAATTCTTCAGTCTGGCCTGATTTTCGACATTGCAATATGACTTATTCAGTGCATTCTTTAGAATATTTTTATTTTTAAAGACACTGAAATATGACTTTATCAGATTCTAATGGCAACTAATATATAACTAAATCTTTTTTAAAGTCATTAAAATAAAAATAAAAGTTTACGTCATATATCGGCGAAAAGTTTTATAAACTGAACATGCATCTTGCATTTATTACAAAATGCAATGTGCATCTTGCATTTAATGAATTTTTATCAGTTTTAATATACAAAATTTTTATTTAGCGCATAATATATTGTAACACCATTAAAATACAAACTAGTACCTTCTGTAATGTATGTATGCCCTTTGATTTTTGTATAATATTTGTATAAACCCAAAATGAAATTTTCATATTATATTTTATATTTGTTTGAAAATTTTAAAAACTAGAAAATGCTAATTATATTTTGCATTTTATGTGTTGTAACTAACGTTAAATTTCAAAGCTCCATTAAAATTATGATCAACTCAACTCAGGTGTTCATTATTGGTATGATTTCTTTTTATTTAGGTGTGGTATGAAAAATAGCTGTAGTCTATCAGCATCTCCAGATCTTTTTGGTGATCCTTGTCCTGGGACACCGAAATATTTAGAAGCTCATTACCAGTGTGTGCCAGGTAAGTCGAAAATAATTTTTTTTTACCCTATTTATTACAAGATGACAACTTCTAATTTATTTTTTTCGTCACAAAATACACATTTAATGTTACTTCTATAGAAAGATATGCGAATTATTTAAAATGCTTAAATATAATATGAAAAAGTTTTTTTTTTAATAAAATTTTTTTTTTAAAAATTCATTTGAATTTCATTTTTTTAAAATTAATTTTAATTATATAATGAGAATTATCAATTGTTACACATAAAGATATGATTGAATAAACTATTATTTAACTACGATACTTAACTTCGTGTTATTCTGTTAAACAATGTCTAAAAAGTTACAAAAAAGGTGTTATAATCAACGTGGTTGACTATATTCTTACGGTTTTACCCTACTGGTGTAGGTGTATCACTTAATTTTATTACAATAACTGTAAATTTATAAAATTTTGCAAAAAGTTGTTTTTTTATACTAAAGTATGTATAGTAATTAAAATATGATACTTGAATTTCACTCTTCTTATACAGTTTAACCCCGCTATATAACGAACAACTCAGCTGTAGTGAACGTTTTTAGTCGCCTTCTCCGATCAGTTATTTAACTAATGTTATTACATCGGCTTACAGTAAACCTTAATAGTAAACAGCTAAGAAATTTGTAGTTCGTTTATAATGGACTTGTGTTTCCTCTTTAGTCGGTATTTTTCTTTTTCTTTTTTAACGGCAAGCAATGCACTTATCGTTCTTTGCTATGGAAGGTGCCGGAAGTGATGCTCATTTTGCATTGCCTAGTGAGTACCTCGTGACCAAAGTCACGGAGGCGCGCAACATTACCCACCCCAAACTGCCACAGATACCCGTTCCACACATTAGGAGACAACAGAGAGAAACATCCATGCCCTGAATGGGATTCGAATCAGCAGCTATTGGTTTCGCATTCACAGACGCTAACCGCTCAGCAACCTGGGCCGGCTATTCAGAAGTATACGATTATGATTTTAATTAAAACTGAAGTGATACACATTATAAAGGAGTGTTTAAAATGATTAATTTAACTGAAATGAATAATCCGAGTGTATCCAAAAATGAACTCATGTGAGCGTATATCTATTGCACAGAAATTTAAATTTTAACTATCAATTGCATCTTACTTCAGAAGTGATGGAAATAAGAGATAAACCTAATGACGAAACTTAAAAATTCGTTATAGGGAGACAACCGATTCGTCATACGGAGAATATTTTGAATGTTATTTACAGTTACAACGTAAAATTTCGTAGTAGGAAGAAATTCACTATAAGGAAGCTAAGTAATAGAGAGACACTATATATTCAGTTAGTTAATAATTTATAAAGAGATTTCTGTACTAATGCAATTACCATTTCCAACATTATTACTACAATTACCATTTCCAACAGTACTACTACAATTGCCATTTCCAACAATACCACTACAATTGCCATTTCCAACAATACCACTACAATTGCCATTTCCAACAATTCTACTACAATTACCATTTCCAACAATTCTACTACAATTACCATTTCCAACAATTCTACAATTACCATTTCCAACAATTCTACTACAATTACCATTTCTAACAATTCTACTACAATTACCATTTCCAACAATACTACTACAATTATGCTAAAATAATATTTTCATTCATTTCGTATATAGTGAACTTATTGCTCTGTCTTCTGACGGTTCACTTTCGCGGGATTCGATTTAAATATATTGCTGAATATTCTTTCTTTACTAAATGTATTTAGATGTTGTTGTGTCTTATTTACCTTACACATATTTTATTCTCCAGAAAAATCATCTATAACGCCATCTACGAGTACTACAACCAGTACTAGCTCCAGTACAAGTACTAGTCGTCCATCCATCATTATTCCTGTGACGAGAAATGCTCGTCCGCATCATGTTCTCCCTCCCTCATCTCCTTCATCCCCTTCTACAACACACGCCCCTGTCACGTTGCGTGACTCGACGTCAGAATCTATTGTAATGTCGACAACAGTGACAACTCACCACCAAGTAGATGTCACCACTACTTTGGCAGACAGTTTGCTGATGATGGTCAGTGGAACACCCGAAACATCAACATCAGGTGAGATAAGTTCTAGTGATGTCTATTATCAATGTCCTCCTATTTTGCAACTAATCCTGTAAATTATCTTTGCCCTTTTTTGTCATTATTTGTTAGTCCTAGTGATGTCCATCATCTATGACCAATTATTATTTGTTGTTGTTGTTATTATTTGTTAACCTTAGTGATGCTCATTATCTTTGTCCTCCAATTTTGTGATTATTTGTTATGGTTTGAACGATAAGCGACCAGATATGATAGCGAAACTTAAGTGGAATAATTGAACAACCACATAGGGAACTTTATAATGTGGCGATAATAGTGGAAAAATCTTTGATTTTTTTAAAGACTTTATTAAGTTGTGCTTAAGTATAACAATATAGATTTATTTTGCCTAAATTTCGGGGATCTGTCAGTGCTTGAAGACCTTGAGTAAGACTTTTTATTTTCAGTGGAAGACTGTTCCTATTGCATTTAGAAAACGAACGTCGAAGAGTAATTTTAGAAAACCAGAATTTTGGTAACAAATTAAAGCGCAAAAAGAGTGCTAACGCTGTAACGAGGCTGTTTTTCAAAGGCTCGCCAATTTCAAAGGCATCAAGTGTAAGGCACTTAAAACTGTGACTTTTTTATTTTTCTTATCTAAAAAGCTACAAAAAACCATGTTAACAGTTAAAATAAATGCCAAGGATTTAAAGATTTCGCCAATCGGAAGTTTGTGGACAAGAAATAAAGTCACAATCTTTACAGCCTATGTCACTCAAAACCTTCTTCCATTTAGTTCTTATATTACGGTTTCACTTATAATGTTTAATAATGTTAGTTATATTAATTTCTTGATTTAGTTTTACCAGTTTGTATAAATAGAACTGAAGTAAATTAGTAAATTTTCCAAAATAACGCATACTTTATTTTCCACATCCCTCTATTTGTTTAAGAAGTCATTGTTACAAAACAAAGAAGCTTCTCATTCTTCTCCTTGCACAGGAAAATAAGATATCATCGTTGATTGCTTTAGCCATTTCCAGATTAAAAAAGGAAAAATAAACGTCCACGGAACATTACTTGATCTCATTTTATTCAGAGTGTGTCGCCAAACCGAAAAAATAAAAAAAAGAATATATCTTTCTCTCCTATGGCGATAGTTTTCCATGTGGGGGTAGACCATAAAACACCCCGATTCACCTATGTGGGAATAAACACCAAATTTTACGACCACTGTGGTCTTCCATCGTAATCGTAATTGCTAGTTACGATTTCATCGTGTACAAAACGATACTGGGCCGTTGAGCATTCAAGTGCCATTTCGGTTTACTCAAGTTTTATGCGGGCCGTTGGAGCCCCGTTTAATTTTGCCTGATGTTCTCGCTGCGACACATATAAAAGAGTGGAACGATATTTATCTTAACAGAATCTACCAATTTGGGTCTGTAAAAAAGTTCGGATGTGAAGAAAGTTTGGATTATTTGGCGCTTTGACTAACGAGTATTCCTTCATTTTAGACGATGCTGATACTATCAAATAGGCTCTTAAACCTATTAATGAATCTTATATAAATTTTTATACCTCCGTTATGAGACCCTTCGATAGGATGGATTTAGTGATTCCTAATTAAAAATGTTAAGCCCTGTTCTTCATGGTCTTTTTATCTTCCACTTATGATCGATGAAAGTGAGGCAATTAAGTGATTTCGTTTTCCACATAATTAGGAGTATGACGCAGTGAACTTTTGACTTCGTTTTGCTATAAAATACCACAAAATTTTTAAAAAAAATTGGGTTGTTAGTTGTGTAGTAAAAAGCGTTAATCAGAACTTAGCGCTATGACATTTTGATGGCTTTAATAATTCCTAGTTAAAAATCTTCAGCACTGGTCTTAATGGTCCTGTCTTTGTTTTCACTACTGAATAGGACGATGTGAACCTATATAATCAGTGTTTATGAGGAATATGATGCAGTTTATGATTTTCTAAGTTGATTTAAGTTTGAATGATAAATATGAAGCGGTGTGATTTCGATTTTATTTCAAAAGGCTTCAAAGATAAAAAATATTGGCCATGTGAGTGATCAGACAGTAAACGAGTAAATCATAAAATTACGCTATATAATATTTCTATGTTTTTTTTTTTCTTCTTTTTTTTCTTCAAGGAATTTAAGAGGGTAGAATCGTTTGTTCAGGCATTTCTTTTGTGCATAAATGAATGCTAAACGTTGCTTAATTACTCAAATAAATCGAAATTAAACTTTATATGAATTTTTAGTCTTCACAATCTGGTCGTTCTATCTTGAACAATCAATGAAATGTGAAAGATACTAACTTTTTTTAATTACTAAAAATTCAAAATGAAACATGTACTTTTTTTTTAGTTATTATTTTTTTTAAAGCAAAGTAGCAAACTTTTTTTATTATTTTACCACTTATTTGAAATAGAGGCATGAAATAGAAGGGGAAAAAAAACAACAACCCATTTTCTAATACAAATGCCAAAGTATAAAAAAGTATCAAATGAAATCCTGCTATTTAATTAGTGAAAAACCCATTAGTTAATTACTTTTTCGGAAAGCAATGAAAATAATGAGATTTTTCTTCGAGCGAAAATTTTTATTATGCTTATTATTTAAATGGAATCTTCTTTAATTGATGTGGTACAAAAAAAAAGTATTCTGTTAAGGAGTTAATGCCAAGCAGTGATTTGACGTGTTTTGTGGTCACTAAAAAGACTTTATAAAAGACTTTTATTATTAAAAAATATTTAAAAATATTTAAAGTTCACTTAGTTTTTTATAAGTTTGCAAACTAACAAATTGTTTTGTACTTTAAAAAATATTTTCGATTCCCATGTGTTTCTATTGCCAATTGTTATATTTCTGTTGTTTCTATTGCCAATGCCAGCAAACCTGATTGGGAAACCAATCAAATTTAAAGCAGAGGGTGTGTTTCTTGTTTTTTAGTAGCGCCATTTATGGCCAAGAGTACGATTTCAGCCACTCAGTAGTCGCATTACAACCTGTTTTATACGGTGGACCCTTTTATTCATCCATAGATCGTAATTTTGACCTGAACCAGAGAACGATCAATCTCCAATTCAGTACCCTCAGAGATATTAATTTGTAATGGGAACTTGGAGGATTTAGTGACCTCGACAGATTTAAGGTGCACCAGTCACCGTTTCAGTCACGGGATTTCTTCGGAGGGCGGGATTCTGACTCCCGTTCTCCGAACACGAGTCCAACGTCCTACCAACCAGGCTAATGTTATTTCTTCTTCAAGTAAATATGGGCTCCACGATCCTAGTAGTCTCTCTCCCCCCCCTTTCTGATATTTTGTATCAGACTTAAGTTAGACGTTTGATTGCTGATTCTAGCGTTTATGTATTAAACTCTACAGTTAATCCAATCCCAAAAATTAAAAAGAATAGAGTTGAAGACCTGATATTTGAAACTATTAAACGTGTTTTGTTGGTTCTGATTCGAAATAGTGTGAGAGTCAATCATAATTCGTAACGTTTTTTATTTATTGATTTGACCGTATACAGACGAATGATTGCATAAAAGTGTAAGTTATGTATTAAAATGCATTATATATTACGAAATATAATTCTCACGAAATATAACTGTGGAATTGTCAACATTTTAGAAAAACGTAGCATTGCATTATTATTACAAGTTTTATTTTTTTAAATTATTATGAGTAAAAGAATTTTTGCAATTGATTGAAGTGGTTCAAATTTTTTTTTTTTTTTTTTTTTTTNTTTTTTTTTTTTTTTTTTTTTTTTTTTTTTTTTTTGATTAAATGAAGGCTGCAGAAATCACTGACTTTGGAATCTTCAATAGCATTTTTGTGCATACGTCACTCAATTTTCTTTCAAAATTTAAATTCAATTTATTTCATATTTGTTTTCTTAACCTTTCTGTTGTTACTTTCTTTAAAATGAATTTTTTAAAGTCCATTTGCCAATGTAATTTCATTGATTATTTTAAATACTTTAAAAAAAAAAAAATCATTCATAAGCTTGCGATTGCAAAAAGACCTTTTGAATCGAAATACTCCTGAAACAATATGTTTCATTAGAATTAATTGAACCTTTAAATATTTCTGTAGAAAATATTCTCTTTTCGACCTTTTCTCCCCTCAAAAAAGAAAATTCCATATAGTATTTTCGCTTAATATTTAATCGCTAAAGATTTTCTATTTTTGGAAAAAGTGACCACTGTCAAAAATAACTGGCCAGTTGTGAATTTTCCTTATTTCGCCCTATACCAATATGGTATTTTTATTATAATTTTCATTCATATTATGCCAGTATGAATTATATAATAACAATAAATCATACTGGCATAATTTCATTAGAACAATTTTTTCTCTATTCCTCAAATGTTCAGGTTAAAAAATATATTTTTATTTCCTTTTTTTCCCGTCAACGATGTAAAGGCATAAATTTTTTAGACATACACTTAACCTTTCTTTGTGCAGAAACTATACCATAAAATTAGTTATTGTAATTATGTAAGCCAATATGAATTACGGCGCTAAAAAAATTAAATTACTCGTAAAAAGTGGAAGCCATCATTATCGCTTACTGAAGCCATAAAAAAAGATGGTGGTCATAAATCAATGTGCAAAATAAGAAGGAAAAAAAACTTTTACAAAAGTTTTTTTAAGTCCCTATTAACTAATAATGGCAGCCTTTTTGGCTTGAAAGAGAAATTGGTCATCACTGGCAGCAAGAATTTATATGGTGAGAAGAGATACTGGCGAAGAAAAAGTTTAAAATGTCTTAGATTTAGAGCCAAGGGGGTCGAGAAGCGTAAATTTCGTCTGATAATGTCGCCGTTTATGAGGCGTTGGCTTTTGTAAAATGAGCAACAGATTTCGGCCTTTAAGGGTGCCATCTATTTCGGCATTAAAGGGTTTTGAGTGACAAGGGTTATAAATACCACACTTTTAATGTGGTTGCTGACCTGTGGAAGCCTGAAGTAGGCTGCAGGGGCCTAGTTTAAAGGAAGAGTCGGAAGAAAACG